CCAATAAATTCCCAATAAAATCCCAACAATTCCCAAAAAAATTCCCAAAAATTCCCAAAAAATCACCAAAATTTCACCAAAAATTTCCAAAAAAATCACCAAAAATTCACCAAAAAATCGCCCAAAAATTCCCAATATATCCCCAATCAATCCCCAAAAAATCCCCAATAAATCCCCAATAAACCCCCAATAAATCCCCAATGAATCCCCAATAAATCCCCAATAAACCCCCAATAAATTCCCAATCAATCCCCAATAAATCCCCAATCAATCCCCAATAAATCCCCAATGAATCCCCAATGAATCCCCAATAAATCCCCATTAAATTCCCCAATCAATCCCCAGTCAATCCCCAATCAATCCCCCAGAAACCCCCAATAAATCCCCAATAAATCCCCAATAAACCCCAATAAGTTCCCCTTAAATCCCCAATAAATCCCCAATAAATCCCCAATAAATTCCCAATAAACCCCCAATAAACCCCCAATCAATCCCCAATCAATCCGCAATAAATCCCCAATAAACCCCCCATAAATCCCCAATAAATTCCCAATAAATCCCCAATAAGTTCCCTTTAAATCCCCCATAAATCCCCAATAAACCCCCAATAAATTCCCAATAAATTCCCAATAAATCCCCAATCAATCCCCAATAATTCTCCAATAAATCCCCAATAAATCCCCAATAAATTCCCCTTAAATCCCCAATAAATCCCCAATAAACCCCCAATAAACCCCCAATAAATCCCCAATCGATCCCCAATCAATCCCCAATCGATCCCCAATAATTTCCCCAATAAATCCCCAATAAATCCCCAATAATTTCCCCAATAAACCCCCAATAATTTCCCCAATCGATCCCCAATCGATCCCCAATCGATCCCCAATAATTTCCCCAATCGATCCCCAATCGATCCCCAATCGATCCCCAATCGATCCCCAATCGATCCCCAATAATCGCCATTTCCTGACCCCCGCAGCGCGGCCAGGGCCGACTCCTCGTTGTGCGTGGCCACCATGAGCGAGAGGCGGGAGCCCGGCCGGGCCAGCTCGGCCAGCAGCAGCCGCAGGCAGCGCTCGTAGCTGAGAATTCACCCCAAAATCCGCCAGGATTCACCCCAAAATCGGTGAGAATTCACCCCAAAATCAGCCCAAAATTCACCCCAAAATCAGCCCAAAATTCACCCCAAAATCGGTGAGAATTCACCCCAAAATCAGCCCAAAATTCACCCCAAAATCAGCGAGAATTCACCCCAAAATCAGCCCAAAATCAGCCCAAAATTCACCCCAAAATCAGTGAGAATTCACCCCAAAATCCGCCAGGATTCACCCCAAAATCAGTGAGAATTCACCCCAAAATCAGCCCAAAATTCACCCCAAAATCGGTGAGAATTCACCCCAAAATCAGCGAGAATTCACCCAAAATTCACCCCAAAATCAGTGAGAATTCACCCCTAAATCCGCCAGGATTCACCCCAAAATCAGTGAGAATTCACCCCAAAATCAGCCCAAAATTCACCCCAAAATCCAGGAGAATTCACCCCAAAATCACCCCAAAAATCAGTGAGAATTCACCCCAAAATCAGTGAGAATTCACCCCAAAATCAGTGAGAATTCACCCCAAAATCAGCCCAAAATTCACCCCAAAATCCGCCAGAATTCACCCCAAAATCACCCCAAAAATCA